AGGTAAGTTGAGGGTACGATAGCCGATTGACTCTGGATTTCAAAGTCTCTTGTCAGAGGTAAGCCTTGGTGGCCAGTGGTGAACCGGCAATGGTTTACTATCCGGACGGCAATGGTTTACTATCTGCACGGTCATGATTTACCATGCGGCACGGCCATAGTCTACTACCCGCACGGCTTCCGGACGGCAAATGGTTTACTATCCGGACGGCAATAGTCTACTATCCGCACGGCAATGGTTTACTATCCGGTGCCCTGGCTGTCGGTGAGCCTCTGTGCAAGGAAGGAGAATGAAGGAGGACTTTTGACTATCGTACCATTAACAATTTAATATAGATTAGCTAAGGTAATTGAATAGGTAGATAGGATTGTTTTTATTAAGCAATTTGAGATGCAGGCACCGCTAAGCTTTCTGATGAGAGTTTTCTCTTTCTCCATCAACACGGGCTGTGTTTCAACAACAATCTCGATGAGGACTGGCACCAGTTTTGGAGGACAACGTAGGAACCGAACCGCATTCAACATTCTGCCTTTATCGAATGGACGACGGTAAGTTTTTTTTTTACATTTTAATCACTTTATTATTTTAAAATATTATTTATTTGCCGTTGTTTCCATTTTATAATTTTTTGCTCCTAAGATTCTAACATTCATTTACTACTACGCTAATAAAAAAAATTTGTCTACAGGATGATGAGAGGTGGGCAGTGGTGGGAGTCAGCACGTTTCAGATGGTTGTCTCATGATGATTTACGTATGATGATGGTGGTGTAGGAAGAATCAGCGCATTGGCTGTTCGACTGACAATCAGAAGTTCGGATGAAATCATGTGTGCCGACCAGATGATGGTGGTCGGTGCAATGAAGTACTGTAACGACGATTTTTGAACTAAGGTTTAGTAGTTTCGTCTTTAAATTTTTCTCATTGATTGATTGATTCATTGATTGATTCATTCGTTCGTTCATTCATTCATTTTATCACTCAATCTTTCAAATCATTTTTCCATTAATTTATTTTTTTAATCATTGAATCATTAATTAATTCATTGACTCTTGCCTCACTCAGGCATTCAACATTCTGCCTTTGTCGAATGGACGAAAATAAATTTTTTTTACATTTTACTCTCTTTATTATTTTAAAATATTATTTATTTGCCATTATTTTCATTTTATAATTTTTTTCTTTTAAGATTCTAACATTCATTCATTAATAGGCTAATAAAAAAATTTGTCTACAGAATGATGAGAGGTGGGTTGTGGCGGGCGTCAGCACGTTTCAGATGGTGGTCTCATGATGACAATTCGAAGATGACAATAAGAAGTTTCTGGAGAGTAAACGCGCGCACATTTACGCACATACATCAATACAACACACACATACACAACATCCATTCAATCGGTGTCGTTGTTATGTTTCTCTTCAACTTTCTATTTTCTTTACCGGACTTAATTTTATTCATGGGTAAGTTAGGGATTGAGATGAGTTGAACAATCGTAGGTAGGCTAGGGCTTAACATTAGTTAAAAAGTTTCAAGTAAAATAAAAACGCTGAAATATGTAAAATAAAATACCTAAAACATGTAAAATTCCAAAAACGTAGAAAAACATATTTGTAGGTAGGTGAGTTGAGTTAATGATTATAAGTAAGCTAGGGCCCTGAGAGTAATTTAGTTGTAGGTAGGTGACTGACTACTATTCTTGCGACTTTTTACTAGTTTTTTGTGATGTGTTTGTTTTCGCTTCACAGCCCCACACCAACAAAACAAACTACATTTTATTCTCGTCGTCGCCTTAAATTTTACCTTTTTGAACAATCTTTTTAATAATGTCTATTTATTTATTTAATTATTTATTAAATGTTGACTGGTTTCTAGTTTTAATTTGGTTATATAATTTTTGGATATTTCTTGATTTAATAAAAGCAACCATTGTGTTTTTCTTTCTTTACTAAAATCTCGAAATTGTTTGTAGATCTGTACAGTTAAGTGTTTGTTCGAGTTTGAACAAGCCTTGCAAATATTTTTCTAATATGGTTCATTGATTGGTTGGTTGATTGAATGAATGGTTGGTTGATTGATTGATCTCATAGTATTTTATATATGAAAAAAAAATCCGATTAAGCCAACATACGGCTTTACTTGGCCACTGTATTTTACCAGACAAAAGCAATTTCTTTATTTATGTTGACAAAAATAATTGTGAAATGAATATATTGACTTATTTAAAGCATTATATGTAAAGAAAACCGCCATGACACTGTTGTATGAGACCCAGTAAGCCACTGCAGTAAGCCAACGTATGATTTCAGCAACCATAATTTCTATGAGCACCAGCGGAATGTAAAATATTCATTGAATATAATGAAGATAGTTGTTCAAATAACAATTTTGATCTATTTAGGTCGTTTATTTCATGAGCAAACAAATTTGTAACATGATCGAATAGTGTAAAAAGGGTGACTTTAGTTCAATCCTAAGCCAACCTTCGGCTTCAGTAAAAAACCACCGGATTTCACAGGACCAAAAGTATAATTTTTATATTCAAATTAACAACAATAATTTAATAATACATAATTTTATTTAATAAAATCATAATTTTATTTAATAAAATTAAAGAGAATTACTACAATGTTTTAAGCATATTAAGTCAAGTAAATATTTCATATAGCTTGCTCGTTAAAATCCATGCAATTTCGTAAGCCAATAATCCAAGCACGACAAATTATTCTAATTATACGAAATTATCCACATAATTGAATAACTACCAAAAATCATTGAATATTAGTTATTTAAAAAAATATATTCTTTATTCCCAGGCCTAAGCATTGTAAGTAAAAATTTTACAACCAATCAAGCAATAGGATTTAGGATTTTAGGAACAAGTGCTGTTAGTGTAGTAGTTGTAGTATGTAGTAGTGTAGTGGTTGGTAGTCTCTAGTAGTCTAATCTGTTAATGTTCGTTAGTGTTAACTGTTATTTATTTTAATTAGTAATTAGAATTAGTAGTTTAGTTTTAGCTTAATTATTAGTGTTTAGTAATTTAATTACTAATTAGTCGTCGTTAATGTTGTTACGTTACCCTTACCGGTTACAGTTAATCGTTAACGAGTCAAGTGTTAGAAGAGTGGGTCACAAAAAATTTTTTTAATTTAAAATGCAAAAACCGTCATACAGCAATATCTATCCTAAAACAGCATCTATTATCACCTTTCAAAACATTTTAAATAAAAGCAATATTCCGAAATTAGTAAATAAACGATCGTAATTTTAGACTTGGGCGATAAAAAACCACCCTCCAATTCCCCTCCGGAAGTAAGCTCCTTGCTCGACCGTCAAAAATGGCCGTTATGTTTATTCTAATTATATGGAACTTTCCATTTTAGTTTTTTATATTCACATAGGGAAAATTCGATAAATTTCATATAAAATTTTAATGTTAACATCGCTACTTCGAGCTTTTAACTTCAAAATAACTTCAAAATAACTTTCAATTTGTCTTTTATTGTAGCAAATCTCAATATTCAAAGTTCATAACGATGCATTTAGCACTTTGCATCTAAAATTCTCATCCATTCAATGTCTTACGGAAGACTTTTTTCATCAGCGTTCCTCAATGAATTTTGCACACAGGTTGGTCTTGAGATCCGCTCTGAACTTCGCAAGTGATGGAGAAGTAGTCAGAGAAGGAGGTAGAGAGTTCCCGAGAAAACGGCCAGAAAAGGCAAATGCAGAACAATTGAGATAAAACTAAAGAAGTAACAAAAAGGGTAGGATCGTCAAGAAAAGGCAAAAGTTTTTATTCTACGTAGATGAAAGTAAGAACTTCTAGCAACACTATTAATCTGAGAAAAAAGAGACATGCTAGAATCAAAGATAAAGCTTAGAATAAAAAACTTATGAGATACTTCAAGTGTTTTAAAATCAGGTAAGATAATAGAAGGAATAGTAATAGAGTGTTTAGATTTATTAAAACAAATAAATTCGAATTTAGAAGGATTAAGTTTAAGACACGCATATTGTCAGACCAAGCGATAAGTGAAGACAGACATAGAGATAGATTATGAAGAACACTATTGAGATAAGATGGAGGTGAAGAAGTATAAATATAAGAATCATCAGCATATAGTTGACTAGTGAAAGAAAAATTATTAATAATACGAGGTAAAGTATAAATAGAAGAGGGCCAAGGATAGAACCCTGAGGTACCCCAAAAGTAAGGGTAGAAGAGTTATAAGTATAATTACTAAGAACAACGAAAGAAAAACAATTACAGAGATAAGAAGAAAACCAAGATAGACAAAAGTCACTGAATCAGTAATATTAAAAGATTTATCTACAGCAGCCTCTAGAGAATTTTCAAGATTTTTTCGTTACTTTTATAATTAAATTCTCAATAATATAGAAATTAGCGTCAAGATTAATATTAGTACTTGTATTTTATTACGAATTATTTCCTTTTTTAACACTTCGATCAAAAAACCGATTAATATTCGAACCGGTAAGTCTTTATAGGATTCGCTATTCAAACGAATACTTTGTATCATAATCCATTTAAATCGGCATACATTATACAATTTCCATACTAAACATAGATGTAAAAATTAAATCATGAAAATAAAAAAAACATAGAAGCTAGAGCAATAAAATGGAGTTGTTAATAATAAATAACAACAACAGCCCATCTCTCTCTGCACCTTTTGCCTCTGCTACCTTTATTATATTTTTATTGTTTATTATTGTTATTATTCTTATTATTATTATGTTTAGCATTATTATTATTATTATTATTATTATTATTATTATTATTATTATTATTGATGCTTATTTACATTACACATTGAAATATGTTTATTTATATATAAATATATTAAAGTATATATAGTATATATATATATATATACGTATTTAAATATATACATATGTGTTTGTGTGTGTATGTGTGTGTATATATATATATATATATATATATATATATATATATATATATATATATATAACTTACAATGGCAAACACAACGTACATGATTAAATGCACTTGTGTGAAATACATTGCACAATGTGTACAGGTTTGTGAATGCATAATTAATTAGTATATATATATATAATATATATATATATATATATATATATATATATATATATACATATAAGGTTTATTTATTTGATATTTATAATATATTGATTGTTAGTCTTTAGTTTACGGTGAAACATTTAAATTTATTTATGACAAATTATAAAAGGAATAGAACCGACAGAAATAAAGATATAAATGTCATAATTAAATTAATTAGTTAATAGATCAACTTTTTTTATTGGAAGAGCATTTCATAGAACGCTGGATAATTAATCAAAAATGGATAATTGGATGACTAATTAATTAAGATTAACAAATGGATAGAATTGGATAAACGATACGGATAAACAAATTTAAATTATTAATAAAGTCATTTTATAAATCACCATATAATCATAATCATAACATCAAAGACGACGACAACAACAACAATAACAACATCAACCAATAGTTTTCCATAATTTCACAATAATTACAACATTACAATTATGACGTCACTGATGATGATGGGCGCGTCCAAATTTCGAAATGACGACGAGAGGAGAAAATTAATTAAGCAAATCCAGGAATGGAACAGCAATCGATTGGACCTGTTTGCAATCTCCGAGCCAAACGAGGTGATAATACAAATTATAATTATTATAATTATGTGGTTATAATTTGGTAGTCCAATGGTGAAGCGGTAAAGATGAAGGACCTTACAGAGTTGTTGGCCCGTGTTTTAATTTTTTTTTTTTTTGTGTCTATAATGTAAAAAAACGTCCTACCTCGGGGAACCGGGTCTCTGGACGCAAAACGAAGATTGATTGATTGATTGATCTATAATGTAAAAAGAAATATCTATGCTTAAGGCAGGCGCTATATAAATTAAAATTGTTTGCGTTATATAAATTAAAGTTGTTTTACAGTTACGTTACCTGTTTGAATGCAAAGAAAATCCACTGAATTAATGTTTTTTTTAAGTTTTATAAGTATTTGAAATGAGGTAGAGATGGCCCAAAGTCATATTTACTTCTGTGTGTGTGTGTGTGTGTTGTGCGTGTGTGTATGTGTTTGCGTGTGTCTGTGTGCGTGTGCCTGCGTGCGTGTGTGTGTGTGTGTGTGTGGGTGTGAGTAATAAATGATTTTTTAAATCATAACTATTTTGTCCTGATTTTAAAATGGTATCATTCATCATTTGGAGTTAGAGAATGTTATTATGTTCATTATTATTATTATTATTTGTTATCGATCGGGTCTTTCGTTAATTCATTCACTCATCCATTAATTCATTCATTCAATTTCATTCCATAATTTTTACAGTTTATCATTCATCTTCCTTCTTTGTAGAAACAGTGCTCTATTAGTGTGACATTAATAATAAAAGTGTACAAAAATACAAATGAAGCAGCCATAAATGGGTATTGTATCGATAGTTAATACGCAAATGTGGCTATATATACACACATGTGGGCACATTCACAAACACACATACACATACAATCAATCGCACTTACATAAACACATACGTTGAATAGTATTAGATTAGCAGTGTTAAATGTGTTTTTGTATGTACGTATTTATGTGTTTGTGTGTGTGTGTGTGTGTGTGTGTGTGTGTGTGTGTGTAGGTATTTGTGTGTGTGTGTGTGCCCACATGTTCATCCGTTCCAATGTTTCATAGTTTGACACATATAAATATGAAACGAATCAAGCACAGTTTAATATTTTCTCAAGTGTGTGTGTGTGTGTGTGTGCGTGTGTATGAATGTGTGTGTGTGTGTGTTGTGTGTGTATGTATGTGTGTGTGTTGTGTGTGTATGTATGTGTGTGTGTTGTGTGTGTGTATGAAATACGTACCGTTATTATCTTCTAGTAAATAAAATGTAAGATTATACATTTTTTTTCAAAATTATTAACACTTAACATCTTCTCGTTCACTCATTCGTTCGTTCGTTCGTTCATTCGTTCGATCGTTCGTTCGTTCGTTCATTCATTCATAAGGAAAAAAGGAACTAACATTTCTATTGTATTATATCACATTGAATGTGCAGTGCATCGACATTTTACAATGGCGGTCTCCTACATTTTCTTCTTCTTCTTCTTCTTGTTATTATTATTTTTCTTATTGCTATTAGTTTTTGTGGTTATTATTATTATTATCATCATCATCATCATCATCATTATTAGTGTTATTATTATTATTGTTATTAATATAATTGATTCACAGTCATTAGAGTCGTGGCAGTTATAATATTTTGATTTTGTTATCATCGTCGTCATCATCATCATCATCATTATTATTATCATCATCATCTTCTTCACCGTTATAACCATCATCATCACCACCAGCATGTGTGGTGGGCATAATGGTTTCCGCAGATCTGTTAATCATCATCATCAGTTAGCTACATACGTACAAGTACATACAAACATACATACATACATACATACATTCATTCATACATACATACATACATACATACATACATTCATACATACATACATACATACATACATACATACATACATACATACATACATACATACATACATACATACATACATACATACATACATACATACATACATACATACATACATACATACATACATTCGTACATACATACATACATTCATACATACATACATACATACATACATACATACATACATACATACATACATACATACATACATACATACATACATACATACATACATACATACATTCACTCACATACATACACACATACACTCACATATATATATACATGTATCTTGTGACATGAAACACATTTGTCCAGTGCAAATAAATTTGCATATATATGTTGGTGATCTGTATGTATGTTTGTTACTTTGTATGTATGTGTATGTGTGTTTGTTAGTTTGTATGTATGTGTTTGTATATATGATTGTGTGCGTGTATGTGTAACGTATATTTATAGTTGTAATGGTAACAGTATTAGTAGTAGTAGTGGTAGTAGTAGTAGTGGTAGTAGTAGTAGTGGTAGTAGTAGTAGTAGTAGCAGTAGTAGTAGCAGTAGTTGTAGTAGTGGTGGTAGTAGTAGTGGTAGTAGTAGTAGTAGTGGTAGTGGTAGTCGTAAGAGTAATAGTAGTAATATGAATATTACCATTCAAGCCATTACATATTGTTTTAAACACATAGCTTGTGTTGTTAGCTGTCACTAAGTATTTGTTATATGCGTGCGCTGATATAATAATTACTTGAATATGTAAATATACATAAACACGCCCCAAAACAAACAAACAAACACACAAACAAACAAACAAACAAAAATAAACACACACACACAAACAAACACACACACACACAAACACACACACAAACAAACAAACAAACACACACAAACACACACAAACACACACAAACAAACACAAACGAACACCAACAAACACAAACAAACAAACACACACACACAAACACACACAAACAAACACACACACACAAACACACACAAACAAACACACACAAACACACACAAACAAACACAAACAAACAAACACACACACAAACACACTCATTCTTACACACCAGAACTTGGAGTTCACTGGAGTCATGAGGTTTTTCTACCAAGAAGAGGGCGAAAAAATTTCCACCAAGTGTGTGCGCGTCTCGAGCTGGCACACGACGCGTGACGTCATCGACACCCTGGTCGAAAAGTTCAGACCCGACATGAAGATGCTGACGAAGACCACCTACACTCTACATGAAGTTCATGTTAATGGAGGTTTGTGGTGTGTGTGTCGTGTGTGTTTGTGTGTGTGGTGTGTCGTGTAGTGTGGTTTCTTTTCGGTGTGTTTGTTTATCACATTTGTATCTTGAGGTGTTAACACACAAATGCACATCTCAACTAACCAAACTGAAGAATAAAGATACAACAGCGTAAATTCACATACACGCACACATCACACGCACACACACACACACACACACACACACACACACACACACACACACACACACACACACACACGTAGTACACAAACGTAAACACTCATACAAAACAGAAGAAAGAAAATTGTTGGCTGGAGAATTCCCTCTAATCGTGCAGTTGAACTGGGGAGTGGATGATCGCGAAGGACGATTCCTACTTAAGAAGCAACATGATAGGTCTTCGCTATTGTCATCTGTAAGGTTTTCATTCATTCATTCGTTTGTTTGTTTGTTTGTTTTGTTTCCTCATTTATCCATTTACTTGTCTGTCTGTCTGTCTGTCTGTCTGTCTGTCTGTCTACCCGTCGGTCTTTTTATTTATTTTTAAGTTTTGCTGGTTGTATTACCTCGCTCGTGTAAAAATAAATGCTCGAATGCAAGACAAGTACCTCAACACGACATATATATATATAGAGAGAGAGCGTCAATACACTACACATTACACACACACACACACACACACACACACACACACACACACACACACACACACACACACGCACACACACACACACACACATACAAACACACACTCACACATCCGGGCCATTGAAAAAATTTCAAATATTCAGCTATTTCAATTTCAGACGTGTCCTTATTTATTTATTTATTTTTTTATTACTAGAACGATTTGAATAATTCGCATCGTCGTCATCTTCGTCATCGTCACCATCCTTACGTCATCATCATCACAACCGCCACCACCATCATAATCATCATCATCATCTTACTTATATTGCAGGCTCAGAATGAATATAATTGAATTACAAAAGTGATTTCAAAAGAGAAAAATTTAAATAATAATAATAATTTTTTATTTATTTATAATAATGATGATGACTAGTAATAATAATAGAAGTATAATAGAAATAATAATAGATTAGTGAGACGTTTTAGCATCTCATACCCACAC